GTCCTGGTTCTGCTACATGGAGAGCTTCACCACAATCAACCCACTATCTCTGTTTGTACTTCACTCAACTGGATGAGAGAGGTTCGTTAACTAAAATGCCTCTGTAGGGGTCCCCAGTATATACATATATATATATATATTTACTGATAGTGAAAGTCTCCTGGAATTCTGTCACTCTGTAGAGGCAATGCAATTTAACTGACTCTAATATTATATTATACCATTATAATATAATGTTATTACCTTTTTAGGCTCTAGTCTAAGAAAGTCTTTAAGCATAAGCTTACCGTTAAGCCCTTTTCTTGGATTACTTCAGTTCATACTTTAAGGTGCCTAACTTTAATGCCTTGCTGGACTACTGAAAAAAACATACTTAGATAAAAACCATCATGTAATCATCACATTTATGATGCTCAGCTCACCACAGACACTAGTTCCCATTAAAATGACAGCATTTACTATGTATTACTCTAAGCAATATGCTGAAAATTTCATACCCATTTGCAACTCTAGTACATTAAAATGCCCCAAATACCATTTTGTCATTACTATTGGCAGGTGTTTTTTAACAGTGATATTCATATGAGGATTGTCAGCTAACTGGCAAATTTGGAGTTCAAGGAGGTGTTAATACAGAGTAGCAATAAAGGAACTGGACAGGACAAACAGGAAATTCAGAAGACCATAAATATACCTTCATAATAGTTAGTGTGACACAGTAACTTTAAAGGCTGTGATCTATGAATACAAAATGGTCTAAAAAGTTATAAACATCCATGTGTTTTACACTGCCTTACCTGATTGGATCTCTTTTGTATTGACTCCACTCAACTTTGCCATCCCTACACAAACTACCTGTGTTTACCCAAATATCGTTCTTGTCTCCCCAGCTGTATGATCCTAGATTTCTGTTCAATAATGGCATCAGCTATTTACTTGGGTACGCTCTTATTTTATTGAGGTCATTCCAGACTTTTTCCTCTGTGCTCTATAGTTGCATTAACAGCTTCCTTCCTATTTTTAAATCAGCAGCTAATTTCAGCAACTATGTGCTTATTGTTTCTTCAGGGTCACTCATAAAACAAACACTGTTATTGATCTTTCTGAATCTACCACTAGTTTTTCCCTTTTATCTTATCTGAGTGACTATTCAAGAGGCAATTTCTCAACAAACCAGGACATCTATCCTAGATAAACTAGGATATCTGAAGAGAGAGATTTTTCTCTGTGTCCTAATACAGCTCCTATCATTGCAGTAGCCAAGCAACTCATAAATGTTAGTGATTTTGTCTCCACGACACCTTTTTAAAGGGAAAAGTGTTGTTAACTGTCTTTTATGAACAGGAAACTAAAACAGGGGGATTTAGCGCTTCAAAGGCAAAGACCACTCATGAAATGTAGAATGAATTGCATCCTTATTTCCTATATTTGAAGCACAACAGCATCTTCCCTTTATTTCTGCATGCAAAAATTGTGCACCCCGGATTCACAATTGCTTGTCTGCTGGATTACAGTGACTGATGACCTGGCCAGTTGGTGTTTATTCTGCATGTTTGATGAGCATCTGAGGGCAACCGACATCAGAGGCTAACACAAAAATGCGTTAAACCAAATTGCTGCCAGTATTTTATCTACTGTTATTATTAAGCTTCAATACAATTATTGGGGTTTAAACCCTCAATCTATTCACTGCCCTCCACTTAGGCCAAGAAAAATGTTGGCTTTGCCAAAAGAAAACATGATACCAAAACGCAAAGCAGCCTTTACAGGTAGTAAGACCTAAGTGACATTATTCAGGCCCCAAGTATCTAAAGCATCTTTGAAGAGAGTCTGTTTTATTCACACATTTTATTTTAACAGGGTATGTAAAGATAAGATTTACTGGCCGTTACCATTTGGCTAAGTGTGGCAAGCCTGGCTCCTTTCAAATTAATTCTAGGCCAATCCACAAAGAAAGTTCCAAGTTTGACTACTATAACACATCCACATTAGACAAAGTTTTTCAGTGGTCCCTGGGTATTTCAGCACTATCCAGCCACCTTCTTTATGGTTTATCTCTCTTTACTCACAGAGGTGAAAGGTTTGCTAGTCTTGTTCTTGCAGATCAACACACCACCAAAGAGAGGGGTGGAAGGCTAATGGTCTAGCACTAGAGATTGCTGCATACACTGGATACGTCTGCAGTGTTGTGCCACATGGAGGTGGCCGAGCCCACAAGCATTACACCTAATGAGGAACAAGAGTAATTGAGCAAGGTGCAGATCTATCACAGCTGGACGTAGTTACTTGTTCTGCATGACACTGCCCATGCACAAAAAAATGTATGCTGTGTGTTTCATTAAAGGGCAGGCAGAGTCTTTCAGTCTTCCTGTCCTGCTTTAACACTTCCCAGGTTTATTAAACACAGTTTAAGAAGTTTGTCCCTAGGCAGGAAATTCATGCCAAAGGTCTCAGAGTTGCAAACCACCATTTGGTAGGAACAATAACACTGTCATTAAAGGGTATTGTTACTCGTATTAGTTAGTATATTAGCAAGAAATAAGTTTTTACATGAGAATATAAAGATCAAACATGCTAATTGCATAATGAATAAAGAAGTAGGCAGCAAACACTGAAAGACCTGGAAACAGGCGAATTCCCTAAATAAAAGGCATTCAGTTAATAATGAGTTGCATTCTCAGTCCAAAATGTGCTTGTCTTCTGGTCTTGGGAAACAAAATAAAGACTAATGTCCTCACTAGGTTTTGCCTTCGCTTAAGGAAGCATGCATCAGGCAAAACTTGTCAACCAAGATGCAGAAAAGTCCTAGTAAAGACGTTATGAACTGTATTTTTCACAAGCAATGCATTATGCTCAGGCAGACATCAGCTTGATCTAACATGTTGTATGTAACTGTATCATGTGTTATAAGAGCACATCCTGTGCCTCCTGACATTCAGATGAACTAAACCCCAGTACAAATGCTTCCCTGGCTTGACTGCTCTCTTCCTACCGGATGGTAGACTCTGGGCTCTCTACAGTTTCTACCCCTGCTTGCTAAGTCATGTCAAAACTAGAGACTGCTTTTTGTCTTTACTGAACTTTACATCCTGTTAGTTTGCAGAAAGGAAGTAAGTTATGTTAATAGCACACCTACTTTCTCCTAGTGAAGATGCGTTCTGTTGGGTATTAGTGCCATTCACACACCTATTTAGACACCCAGTCAAAGGCTATGACCAGCTGTACAGCATATAATGATTTTTTTAAAGGAAAGAAAATGCCATTAAAACAAAAGGCCCTGTTCTGCTTCTGGGTAAACAAACTGTAATTTTACAAAGGCTCAAAAAGGAAAGGGATTAACATGCTTCAACGTGGTAATGGTCACAACTGTTCACATTAAAATTTTCACAGTAAATTAAACCATAACAGAGGTAGAAAAGAAGTCAATTTTCAGTGGCTCATGCTGTTCTGCTGACATAAATCGCCATTTTTTAGGTAGTATATCCACCACCCTGTATAATGATAGAATAACAAAACCGCAACCCAGCGTTGATTAAGTTTGGCCTTTTGCATGCTAATTTTAGTCTGCTCTGCCAAAATAATTGCATGCGCCACCTTATTTACATGCTTCTAGATATTTAGCACCCTCTCACTATTCTTTCTTCACCATCCTTTACTTAAGCCTGTGGCCCTCCCTCCTTGGACAGTGTCTGCTGCTCAACACCACTTCTGCTTCCTGAGTTACACTCAGGACATCTTCCCACCACGCACACCCATCCTTTTCCAGAGCTCTCTTGGCAAAGGTAATGCTAAATGTCAGTCCATCTTCACCCTGCCCATCTATGTTTTCCTGCATGCTGCATACAACACTTTGTTATCTGCATGCTCTTTAGAAAGACCAACAACTTTCCTTGACTAGAACATGTTGGCACGAAGCCCCACTCAATCGTCCCAGTAAGGCTGGAGGAGCCAGGTAAGTACAGACTGTCGCTGGTCGATGCTAGCCAACAAGTTCACACAAACACGTGTTACACACCGAGTTTACACAACAGTGACCAAAAAGGAGGGAAGGGACAGGCCACGGAAGTGTACCAGACCCCCCGGAGAAAGCTCTGCTCTGCGTTATTGTAGCAGCACTACAAATGGATGTTTAAATACAATGGGGCGCTTATCTGCCTGCCAAATGCCCACGATGCCTTTCCACCTCAGTTATATCATGGCAGCGCGAAACAAAAAATGACAAAGGACTATTAAAGAAAGTCAACACAGTAAAAGACGAAATGAAGCGGGAGGCCCAGCACCCAAAAGCCTGCGTGCAGCGGTGTGGCAGCCGAGCCGCAGGGATGCAGCACCCCGCACGGACCCCGCCGCAGCTCCGAGATAGGCCCCGCTTCACCTCACCCAACCTCTCCGCACCGAACCATGCCCGGCTCCCCTTGTCCGCCACCGCGGGGACAGCCGCAGCCCGCCTCGGAGCCTCGGCCTTTTGCCCACATGCCCGCTCTGGCCCTGCCCCAGGCCGTGCCCCGTCCTCACACGGGTGCCCAGGCCCGAACCCTCGTCCCCTGCCCCGGGCCGCGGTGGGCCAGCGGGAGGCGGCCGCCCTGCCCTGCCCCAGCGCCGGCCGCGGGGGGAGGTGGGGACCCCGCTGCCCCTCGGGGGGGGCCGGGGCGAGGGAGGGCGTATAATAAACAGCATCGTTGTCATGCGGGCAGGGCTGCCGGCTCCCCAAGCCTCCTCCCCGCGATAACAACCCAGGTACAGCCCGCGCTCGCCCCCCTCCCTCCTCTTCCTCCTCCTTCTCCTCCTCCTCCCGGGGGGCCGGGGAGAAATCTGCAGATCAAAGAAAAGATGCACAATAATAACGGGGTGGGCGCGCACCGCGGCCCCCCGGCCGGCGGGAACGGGCCCGGGGCCTCCGGCGGAGGCTGGCCGCGGCCCGGCCGCTGCCCGCCCGGCAGGAGAGTGAGGGGGGCGGCGGCGCGGGGCCGGGTCCGGACCCCCCCCGCCGCGGTACTCACCCGGGCCGGCCAGTGCGGGTACCCCTTCATTTTGGCGAACACCAGGTCTCCAGCCTTGTATTCTCGGGGCCGCGGACGAGCCATCGGGAGCCGCCGCGGGAGCCGCCGTGTGTCCCCCCGCCCTCCCGCACCCCCCGCCCCGCACACGCCGCCCCGGGGGCAGCCGGGCGAGCCCCCGTGGGCTGCGATGCGCCCGTGCACGGGGCGCAGCCGGGAGCGGGGCCGGGCCGCGGGCAATCCCCGATCTCTCCGGCGGCGGCGGCGGCGGCAGGAGGAGATGGGGTGTGTGTGAGTGTGTGAGTGTGAGTGTGTGCCTGTGCCTGTGTGTGTGAGTGTGTACGCGGGGGAGGGGGAGGCCTTGGACACAACCCCAGCAGCCCCCGGTACCAGGGAGCCGGCTGGCGGCGGGGGCCTGGCCGGGCGGGGGCGGCCGGGGAGCCCTCACCCCGCGGCGGCGGGCGGGCGCGGCGCTGCCCGCGGCCCCCCCGTGCGAGCTGGCTACGCCGCCCGCGCCGCCCGCTCCATCCCCGCCGCAGCCGTCGCGGCCCCGGGAAGATGGAGCCGTCTCCTCCGAATTACTCCTCGGGCAGCGACCGAAAACAGGATCTTCTTATCCCCCGCCCGCTCCTCCCCCCCCCCCCCCGCGCTTTCTCTTCCTGTTATTTTCTAGGTACACAGATCGGTTTCTATGAAAATAGGAGAGCAGAGAGCGGCTGCAGTCCCTCCCGGCCCTGCCTTCCCCGCTGAAGCATGACATGGTTCTTTATGCGCGCCCGACATGGAGCCTGGGCAGCGAGGAGAACCCGGCTGATTTTTACAGCAGGGCCCCCGCTTTCCAAAGGCTCCCAGCCTTGCGGAGTGCCCCGTCCCCGCTTGTCATGGAGGCCCAGGCCCCAGCACAGATGGGCTCCTCGGGGTGCCTCGGCCTGCCCCCCCGGCACTGCTGGCCACACGCTGTCAACACGGCCCCCTTGCACCGGGGGTACCTGCAGAACCCCGGCTCTAGAACGACCTCCCCGCGCAGCCAGACCCCTGGCCGCACACAGGCCCCTAGGCAAAGGCCTGGCTCCTGGGCACAGAGTTTTCCCCGTTTCTGTACCCAGTATGTTACCCACCACTAACCCCTCCACCTTCCTTCTCAGCACAGAACTCAAACCCCACAGCCACGAAGACCTGAGATCTGGTTACATTCACAACAGGGGCTGGCCCTCAGAGCGTGTTTGGGGCCTGGCTCCTGCCAGATGATGCCAGTTTTCTCAAACATGCACCTCTGTGGGAGGGAAGCACTGGGAACTCACAAATCCAAACCATGGATACAGCTTTTTTACCATAATGTTACCAGCTAGGTTGTAATGTTCAGAAATAAATTATCATTGATGTTTATTATGCCAAAGTATTGCCTAGAGGAGCAAAAGCAGGAAGAAACCTGCAAGCAGAGCCACCAGAAGAGAAGTTTAGGAAAGGTTTTTCTGCAGGTTTGGCTGAGGTTGTAGCAGTGGGTTCCCCAACCATTCCCACATGCAAGGAGGCAATTATTCCTTTGGGTTTAGGGACACAGCTCTGGCTGAGTGCTTTGCTGAGTCCCAAGGAAAGCACCTTCCCTCTGATGAAGAAGAAAATAGGTGGCTGAAGACTGTAGGGTCACATTTTAGGGAGGAAGTAGATGAACAATAGAGAGCACTACTGGTCTGTAAGGTCTTGTAATGACAGAGACAGAAGAGAAAGAAACACTTGTAGCACCTGTTCCTGGGATGGAACAGAACCAAGAAGACTCTTGCTGTTTATGGTGTCCCCAGATGTGGTTCCAGTGCCCAAATGCTGCTGTTGGCAGTACATGAGTCAATAAAGTTTGTCACTCTGGGTCATAAAACAGGATAAGCACTTCTCTGCTGGGGGAAGTGCTGCTGTAAAACCATTAGCTCAGGTATCAGGAGCAGACTAACAATGGAAAAAAACCATCCAAGAAGCTGAACAAACATTCAGATGATTGGCCTGCACTGTGCTCAATGCCGGTAGCTGTTCCTGAAGTACTGAGATCAGTGACAGGGTTATCGCCTTCAGTACAGACATGTGGCCAAACAGCTCAGTTTCACTTTCACATCTGATAGGATTTTGCAGCTTTTAAACGGATACCTCATTTGAATTTAAATTCCCTTCTGAAAAACGTAATGCAAATCTCTGAGTGTAGGAGCAGTGCACTATGATCAGAGTCTGTCCAGAATAACCCTGTGTGCTGTGTCTCACCTCTCATATCTCTGTTACCTCCCCGAACCAGCCTTATCTCCAGAAAACTACTGGAGAGGTGGAGCTGGGTTGGGTTGTGGGTTTTTTTTCTTTTTTATTTTTAATACATTATTTGCTTTTGATCCCAGATGTGAATAGCTCTTTCTAGTAACTAATTTAGTGACCTTAAATGAGCAGGATGTATGCCATTTTCTTCCAAAAGGAAACTGTAGACATTATTATCTAAACATCAATGCAACAATGTATTGCTAATGTCAGGATAGCAAAATTCAAAGTGACTAGATACTGAACTGAAACATCTCATTGAAATGTCCACTTTTAACTTCCTTTTGTCCCAGCATTGGTGTTGGCACAGAATGCAGTGAATGAATAATGTTTCTAGTCTTCAGTGAAGGTGATGACATGCTAGAGCTCCAAAGCAGAAGAAAATGTGTCCCACAGACATGCAAGGATGCACCTCTCTTTTTCTCCTTCATATAGGGTATAAAGGATAAATGAGTTGTGAAGATAAGAACTCTGCTCAGGTTTGGCCAGCTGGAAATCTTCAACAGACTTTGCAGACAGCTTCTCCATCAAGCCATGGTTAAGGTACTGAGAAAGGACAGGAAAGAAAAAGCAAATTTCCCTGCTATTAAATGAAAAAAACCCCAAATCAAATGTTCCACCTATTGACAGCACAGAAACACACCTCAGTACATACAGCAAAGGAGTTTTTAGTGTGCATAACCTGTCAGCCATTCATCACAGCATACAAAGCCTGAGATGTCCTGCCATGTCACCTGTATTATTCTCATTTCTCTTCTATACAAAGGGAGTTCATCTACCCATTCTACACTGAAGTGGGAAAGAGGAGTGCAGAGAGTTTCTTCCAAACACTTCAAGAGCAGTCTGAGATCATAACCATGAATGCACGGGCACAGAGGCTTGCTAGTACATACACTACATGTATATAAGCCAGGTCTTAAGTGTACAGGAGTCAAGAGCTGAATCTGTCTTGGGCAAACAAAGGTCAGCAGGTCAGAGGCAGGAACACAGTGTCCTTACTGAGCATGGGAGATCTGCAGGAGGGAAGGCTCTCTCCTTTCACCTAAGCCCCCCAGTACAGTAAGATCGAGTCCCCTCTCACTTCTCATCCTGTCAGACAGGGGTTCTCTTTCCAAAAGTATGAACAGGGAGGGGAGTAAAGGCAGAGGCCCAGCAGGACCACACAGAGAGGTGGCAGGGTCAGGAGTGTGGTCAGTAGTGAAACCCAGGAGCCACCCAGAACAGATGGTGTCTGAGGTAACTGTTTTGAAGCCACTACCACACTACTGAATTTTGCTCTCCCAGTAATTCCAAGGAAACACTGTTCTTTAGATATTGAGAAGCTTTAAGCCAGTACTGATCATTCTCCCCCTATTCATATATGGAGAAAAATAGCTACATTCCTAGTTGACAATTTTCATAGGGAAAGAATTCCATTGATTCAAAAGTATGGATCAATCTTTAAGAAAAGAGCATGTGGACATAAAAGGCCCAATTTCAAAAGAACTCTCCAAAGTAATGAATAAATTTTTAAACATACGCAAGTTTTGCATTAAATACTCCATGGTCATAGTTTTGCACATATACATTTGTATGCAAACTGTCTCGTATGTGAACTCTATTCATGTTGCTATCTTGCACTGTCCATTTCGTGAGGTGCTCGCTATATTGTGTCTGTAGAAGCCACATAGGTTATTATATTTGCCTCTGAAATTCTGTCCCTGCCCACCTCACCATTTTTGCTTTCTTCACTCAAATTTCATCTGAGATCAGACCCTAAATGCTCTGCAGCGTGGCCACTTTATGACGAGCTTTCCTGTTGGATACTGAAATAAAAGTATTTTTTTACTCATCTATCTATAGCTGATATAATTTTCTTTCCTTCTTCGTTTCCTTTTCCTGTATGCAAAAATGTGCCAGCGATGATTATGGTGATTAGTATTTTGCCGATGTCCACAGTGAACTAGTGCTTCTCTGTTAAATATTTTAATAGGAAGTTGTTCTGAGTCACAACTGAGCCTTTCCCCTGTGCAAGGCATGTCTGAGAGCACTGTCTGAAATCACAGAGCTACTCCGTGTAAGGCACAAAGAGGCTGTGATGTTATATGTCCATCCCAACATGCACTGAAGGGCACTTACCGTGCCCATTAGGATGTTCTTAATTACTGGAGATAAGAAGCTCACCAAGGGATCTTGAGCCTTCTCTGTAATAAGTTTAAAATGGAGAAGGGTGTGTGTCATAGCTGGAGCATGTTATCTATACTCAGTTTCATGAATCTTATGTTATACAGTGTAGCAATCTCCAAATCATATTAAATTAGACAATCTTTAAAGTGATTGCTTTATGTGTTGTAGAGGTGTGAACGTGTATCCTAGAGGCAGAAAAGATGGGAGCACTTCAGTTAAAATTAACTTCTCTCTGGCTGGGAGTTTTCCATTATTAATGGAAAAGGTTTGTATGGGATGGAAATGTTATCAGTGAATATGCATTGCTGCCATTCCTTGTTCTCTGTAGACATTTCAGCCAAAGCCACATTTTCAGCCTACAGTGAGTGCTGCTTAACAAGTTCCAATTCAACCTTTGTTTTCAGTTGCTTGTATATTTTTCATAATTTAACTATTAAAATGGAAAGTGTCTGTGATGACTGTGTGGCTAAACCATACCCAATGTCTGACAATGACAGTGGAAGAAATCATTGTAAAATTACCAAATTGCCAGTTGTAAACACAGTCAAGTTACAACAGTCTGAAAAACATTCATATGTGCCCAGTAGGGGTTGATAAACAAGTCTTAGATGTTCTGTCTGGACTAAGTGTGCTCTAGGCTAAAGTGAATGTGATTCAGCTCATGACTGTGGAAGCAAAGCTCATGAGAGTTAAAAATGGCTAGACAGTGTACCAGAGTGGAGTGATCAGGCGTACATGCAGAGAGAACTGGGAAAAGCTGGAAGGGGACCAGGAGCTAAAGTCTGGGAAGGAGCAGAAAGGGGTCAGGAGATAGAGGTAAAAGCAGCCACAAATTTAAGATGACAAAGACTGCATAATATCTTAGAATTCATCAAGAAAACCCACACATGATCTGACAAAATTCTGTGGCCCACTGTGTCTCATTCTCTGATGGTAACTTCTGCATACAAAGACTAATGAGCTGTTACTATGCTGCCAATTAACTCATCAGCTTATGTGGAAATCTTGACACTGCATTCAGAGATACTGGACTCTGACCTAGTAGAGTGTCTAAGTGGTAACCAGCCTGAGATTTTGTACTGGGGGATAAAACAAACCAACCAACCCAGAAAGAGATTATTAAAGATTGTATCACAAACCTCCCAAGAAGACAGCAGAATAAAAGTTGCACCAGCAGCCTGATCCCAAGTATTTCCCAACGTTTGACTACCTGACTTTGCAACTTCACTGTTCTTTGCTTTTTCTCTTGTGGCATGTGAAACGCTTTAGCAGTCACTTGTTGAGAAACACTCATCAAAACCTAGTGCTTCCATTAATATGCAGTAAACATTACACATGATATGAAGATTACCTTGTTGGACAGAAGATAAGATGCACAGTCTACTTTGCTGTTCCCATAATTTTAAGTGTTTGGCAGAGGTGTCATTCATTGCAATCAAACTAAGGACTTCTCATCTCCATTTGATATACTAATCTATAAAATGCCTCTTCAAATGGCCAGCCCATCTCTAAAATAAGAAACTCATAATACCTAGGAAAAAACCCCTGCAACAGACATTTCTCCTCTGTAGAAATTATTTTAAATGTGTCATCTAAAGCCTCAGAGATTTATTGGCTGAGAAATATGCTGAGAGTTGGCAGGAACAATAAATTTAGTGCCAGATTCATGACACTAACCCCATCGTAGTTTCCCCTCATAAATACTGGAGAAAAGGATTTCTCTCACATGTCCTCTGGTACATTCGTCAAAAGTACCTTTTGGAATGTGGCTTAATGAATTATTACATCCCGACATGGACAACAGGACATATTTATTTAAGGAGCTTTGTAACTTCATATCTGTGTCACCTGAATAACAGGGATAGAAGCTGAGGAGCAAAAGAGATAATGTGGCTAGCATGAAGATTCTTGAGACTGAGGCTGGTTTGTACCACTGGGTGCTACTAGTGCTCAAAGGCACTTGCGGGTAAGGACTGAGATATTTCTGGTGTTTAAGGCATTGAGGAGAGTTCTCAGGCTGTGTGGCTGTGGTGATGCTGAGGGTGATGACTATGATGGTGCCACAATGAATATGGGCATGGAGAAGTGCTTGGAGAAGTAGATATGATACTGAGCCTAATGGGTTGCAGGGGAAGAAAGTCCTCACTGGCTGGGCAGAAAATGGGGCAAGTTACTAATTCTCAACAAAGAGGGACTCAGCAGTCCGGGGAGCCACTCCTTTCCAGGGAGTGAAGGAAGCTGGAAGGGTGGGACTGAAGCTGCTGTGTCCACCACCACCACACTTGGTCTGAAATGCTATCACTTAAGCCTTCTGGTGTTCTCTGACAGATCAGCACACCACTCTGTGCAACGCAGGAACTGGTTCCAGCTGGCTCCTGTGAGAGCTTCTTAAAAGCACATTTCTTCACACATTCCACATACCCACTACCTCCAGATCGCGTTTCTTGTGATGGCCTGCGAGAGTGCCCCTTCCTACTTACATCTTGTCATGTGGCAGCCACATGTTGATTGTTTCCCCACTAACCATGCCAAACCTAATATCCTGCTCACCTATTTGTCTTTCAGAGATCTCCAGCCTATACTCCCTGCTCATGACACGTCCTTCATATCCTGCTTCTCAAGAATCACAACCTCATTTCTTTGGAATTCCTTCCCCAAAACTCCATCCCTCCCAGACACCCAGGACAGCTGATTAGGTCTACCACATCTCTAATGAGTGTGGGTTAGAGTAAGAATGTAAAGAGCCTGGAATTAAAGACGTATATAGGATGAGAAGAAAAGGTCATGAGTATGATGTGGAGGAGGAAAGGAAGTTAGTGCGCTTAGTAACAATTAAGATTATAACTTGTAATTAACGTTACCTTGCCTGGCGTTTCAGTGATCCCTTTGTTGTATAATGTATCCCTTTCTCCACAGTCTGACTTTGTTTTCCTCAACACTGCCCTCTTCAAAGAAGCACGGTTTTCTTCTTCTGAGTTTGGAAAGTTATATGTTTATAAATAATAAATAGAATAATAATAAATCAGGGCTACTGCACTTGCTAGCAAACAGCCAATATGCACTAGATCTCTCAGAAGTCAAAGGGTCTGTTTCTGCTACTGTTTATGCCTCTTTACCTACTGTGGATACTGTGAAGTTCTGATTTGTATCACTGAGAAACCTGAGTTGCTAAAATGCGAACTCTCAGTAAGATACAAAGGCAATATAAATATTACAAAATAATACACATCCTAACAGACATGCAGAGAAATTATTATGAGCCAGGAGATGTACATATTTCTAGACAAGTGACAACATTACCATTTAATTAGAACATAGTGACTTGGTAAGCAAATGGCTTATTTCTGGCCACTTGTTTATTTTCTTCTTTAGCTGTCACTTATGTTTAAGTGGATGCTGTCTTATTGAACGTAAACAGTAGTTCAAACCTTCCCACTGTAGTTCAGAGAACTACAATGGTTCAGAATAAACAGAAAAATAATACCTATCATCTTCACTGAGTAGCAGCAAGGGGCTTAGTATATTGCTGGAAGACAAGCATAAAATATTTAGGCTGGTTAGTATTAAGAAAGTCAAAGAGAATATTATGAGATGAAGCAGCCAAACAGAATTGGCAATGATAGTCTTATAATGGGCAGGTTTTTATAGACTGTTACTCCCACTGGACATGATGCTCCTGATTTACTCAGGCAAACCTCCCACTGAAACTTTCAAAGGGCATATTGCCTGTCTAGAGATTGCTTGTATTGCATCCTCCCTCTGCAACTCCATGGGGTCTGACAGCTTGCTGTACTAGGCAGATGCTAGCCCTGTGAAGATAAAAGTCAGTGTTTGCTGCCATGTGGCCCACGGTGCCCAAAGAGAAGTAGTCTGAACACTCAAAGCTGCTTTTTGTCGTCCAATGGTCAACAGTGAATTTCTGGAGCATAGCTAGCAGAGGAGTAGTAGAAAGGCAAGAACTGGTACATCTGGCTAGGCACCACAGACCTTTCTCTGCAAGCCTCAGTTTAAGCAGAGCTGGAATGAGGTCATTTTGGACCCTGTCAACAGGTAAAGATCAACTTTTCCATACATCCATGTGGAGGACAAGTCTGAGGCAGCAATGGCAGATAACTGAAATGAGTTGCAGTTTGCTTTCCCATGCAGTGTCCTCCTCTGCCCACAACCAGCCTTCAAGGATAGATTTTACCTTACAATGGTAGCTTAGGGAACTCACAGCACATAGACTTCAGCATCCAGTATAGAAGGAATCATTTCCTGGATATCACTAACGTCCACATAACACAAAATTACAATTGTTAACAAAGGATATGGACAATCAAGATTCTGGGCAGTAATATAAACTGGTAACAGCAGGCTATTCTGTAATTGAGAACCATAACATGTTTTACATCTAGTACTGCCCATTGTATGCACTTTGTGCAATTTGCTTGTCTGTTTGTTTCAGCAATGAGACTTTAAATGAACAGGCAAAAGATGCTCACATTTTGTGTTCATTTCCTAAAGCTGATGAAGTGACATGTATACAAATCAAAGCGAGGAATTAATTTCTCAGCAAATACATAATTTACAATTACTGTAATTGTCACAAAGGCCAATAAGCCAAATGTTGGTGCAACTTTGCTGACACCAATATAAGGAGTAATCTGGCCAGTGTACCTGGTGTACCCAGTCCTCTGCTGCAGAAGGTGATGAAAGGAAGCACACTCACACAAGCCTGCTGAGTGTAAAACTCCCATTAATTCTGACTGCTCATTTGCACAACCAGCAAGATTCTGCATGTGAGTTCTCCAGCCAGAATTTTTGTGTTATAAATGCTATGTATTTCTGCATGCTTACAGACTACTAATGAAAAACTGGAAGATTAAACTTATACTACACGTTACTTATACATACATCACATGAAATTGTATTCGGTGCAGTATACACACACAAAGCTGATGGAAACCTTCAGACATCAGAATGTTAGACACACATCCCCTTATTTCCTTGAATATGAACTCATTCTCACACACACACATTCTTACACACACACACTATAACGGACCTACTGGTTCTTACTGATCCTGAGAATCCCTGAAGGGCTGGGCGGAGGTCCAAACATCCGTCTCATAGTAGATCACTCTGCCATATGTTTGCCTTTCTACACAAACATTTGCCAGAAAATCTATCACCGTCAATGCAGCACCATCATGTGACATGATAATAAAAATGTTTATGTGCAGTCTCTCGGTGTTTTGCAGGGGGAAGTGTCTGTAGGAATGAGGATACTGCTGCACCCTCTCTTTTAACTGCCACGTTTTTTTTGTCTACAGCTTTGATCCTCTCAGTGTCCTTCTTCTGTCAGTAACCACTCTGGTTTGGATTAAGGACAAATGCTCCATTTCTCTTGTTTTTCTTAGTGAAGTGCCCCTGCAAGCTCCTTTATTTGAAGCTTATGCTTCAGACCCTTAAAAACTTTGAGCACCTAAATGCTTGTCTCCAGATTCATGGCATGTAGTTCATTGCCAGACATGTCAAAGGTTGCTGCCCTGACACACAGCATGCTCAGCTCCAGTCTTCCACTGAATGGGCAGCAGCATTTGGAGATGCTACTACAGTAATAAGCAGAAGCCAAGCCAGAACATGCACAGTTGTTATTACAGCAGTTGATGGGGATATGGGTTATGTTGTGATGCTCGTAAGGCCTGGAGCTTTATTGTTACTGTCTGTTCACATACTGACTGAATCACCCAGATGTCCTACAAAAATTCCAAATATAAATGACTGAGTAGAATAAAAGTTGTAATAGAGACACCTCCACGTGGAAGATCTTACAAATTAAAGATTCTTACTTGAAAAGACTAAAGATGTTGTCTCTTGGTATTGTGTCACCATGCATTCAAATATGTCTCTGCAATGTCAACAGCTGGATCTCTACTGGATTCAGTGGAGCCTTCCCTTTCTTGGCTAACAAATCTGCTGGGGATGGATTTGCTTTTAGAATGTTAATTCGTTCCATCTTTAAGGCTGATGAGTGCCAATGTTGGGCATTTGTTTTCTGGTTGGTCTGAGTTTTTTATCTAAGAGAACATGTCAGTATGGTGACAAAACTGGTTTCATTTCTAATCTGTAAAGCCTACAAATATCACACAACCTGGGTCTATATTATAGCATACACACATGCACTGCTGGCACATGGCTCTTGCTATTTAGAGAAAAGGTTTTTTTCTACATTTTGGTGGGGTTTGCACTAGAAGTTAGGGAGGCCCAGCTGGGGGCTCCTGCACTATTTAAAAGGATACCGCAGGGCTGTTTTAGTGTAAAAGCAAAAACAGATGACACTATGTGAAAAGGGCTTCTCACTTGCCAAAACCTTTACAATTTCAAAATTCATCTATGCATTTTTTCATATTCATTTCTGTGATCATTTATAGCATAGAAATGCTTCTAAAGTGACCTCCAAAGTAGACTTTCTAAATACCCTTGCTTTCCATTGTACTTCTAATCATCTTTTTGTAGTGTAAAAGGAAGATAATGTTCTCTAAAATTAGCTTGCTTTCAGAAATACATGTACAACTCTTACTTTCCTTACAATGCTAATGATGGGCATAACAGGGAAAAATACTAATAAAAACAATGGGCATTTTACAGGATTCAGTGTGCTACATGTTCCTTCCAGCTGCAATCTCAATTATTTCATCAGAGTTGAGCACAACAATGAAGTAAACTTTTGCCTAGTGTTTGATCCTCTGTGAAATAACAGAGTTCATTTGCAGCTTTGTAGTTGCTATCCTAAGCTGGCCGTGTGTTTCTCTGTGAACATTGCTTGGACTGCCAATTCCTATCAAAACCTGCTCAAATAATTTTCAGTTTGGATCACTAGACCTTTTAGGATATTTTTGAGGATGCCATGGAGGCCACTTAGAACACTTTATTTATTCATAGTAATTTTTCTCCTTAAACACTAAAATGGTCACCAGAGTGCTAAAGTAACTTAAAATGTCAATGCAGATTGGCACGCTCATAGGGATAAGCACTACAAAACTAAGTTCAGCACGCTGTTTGGAAATGTTGTAGTGGAGTGTATACAGAGAAATCAGAAATTTTCTCTTTGCACATCTAGCACACAGCCCAGTAGAGTCTATGTCTGTGACACGTTTGTCGCAAAAGCTAGGTACAGACAGGATATGAAAACTGCCTACATATAGAGAAATGAACAACGTGCAGGCCCGGTATCATAGTTTCAAAATATGAATTTTATTCATGATCAGTAGTAAATAATGTCAAATATATTTGAGTGATTAGTTCTGGCATATCAGGGAAGCTAATCTGTATGAATGCAAGTCTGTATTTGAGGAAGTATATTCTGTATATTTCAAATATTCCAAAGCCGCATATTCTATTTACCACAGAAAAATAATGTTGTTAGTGTAGATATTAAAAAGAAAAATCATGTTGTAGTGTACTGTAGTCAAATATGATGTTAGGAAGGAGTATGAAAGGATCCTCTGCCTCTCAAACATCACTGAAACGGGTAGGTCAATGGGCTCTTTGTGTAAGACAAAGCTTGTAAGACACATGGTTTCTTCCAAAAATCAAAAGCCAAGCAGCCCAAGAATTCCTAAGATATGTCTAGGATTGGTGTGAGAAGTGGTATGCCAAAGGAAAAGAGACAGGGCCAAATAAGAAGAGACAGAATCTGAAAACTCACTGAGAAGGACTTCTGAACAAGCAGTTATATATAGAGGCTGGACCTTGGTGTGGGGAGCTGGATGAAAGAGCTTTAGGCCAAGATTATCCGATTTCTTCTTTAATCAGAAAATCTGTGACTCTGGATATTCATTCAAATAAAGAGATGTGTGTGAACTGAAGTAGTCCACAAGAATTCAGTATTGACTACTTGGGTCAATAGGAGCAGAAATGTGTTTGTATGAAAATTAACTGAAAGAAACATTAGCAGACAGAACCATGAAATACTACAAAGCTGGGATTCCTAAAGTGTGCTTTGGCCTGAGGATAAACCATGAAAGTTCTGGCAATTTTTTCTAAGAAAA